CAGATTTGTTGACTACAACACACTTCTTTCTCTTGGGCTGGTTCCACTCCCTGTTAGCAGCTTTCATGGACAGGCATCCCATGGCTCTGGCATCTCTAACCTCTTGGGGGGTCTCCAAGGCAATCCAGGCTTCAACTTCACAGCTTCATACAATGGCCTCTCTAGACCTCCATTCAGGGACACCCCTGACACTTGCCTGGCCCCAGTAGCTTTCCTTAGTCATGGAGGCAAATTCCATAGCCCCTTTCTTCTCTCCTTAAAGCCAGAACCACTTGGCCAAAGTGTGAGAGCCAAAGTTACTTATAAGTTTTAATTACTATGCAAAAGAGATCCATGAAACAAAAATGTCTCTGATCTGCAAGCCTCTTGCCAATGGACAGATAGTTCCAGAAATGATGGAAGCTATTGTTTATAGGAGATAACAAGCCACATGTTTTCACTCCCCTAAACATGTTTGTTTGACCCATCTGCACCAGATGTGCTTGATCACATGTGGGCAAGAGGTTCATAGGGAGGACATATATCAGGATGTAGGATTGCCCCTGATTGGATGTAGGTCAGAGGTATGTCAGGATATATGCTTGCTTCTGATTGGACCTGATAGGAAATATTTAAGTCACTGCAAACAGAGATTCAGGCCATTTTTCTGGGCAACCAGAGATGGACTTGGCCAGAGACTCCATAAACCTGGGCAGTATTTAATTAAAGCTTGCTTCAAAATTGACTTTAAACTGTGGTAGTGGTCTTACTCTTAATCAGTGGAATTAACATTTTCTGGAGGTCTCAGTGAGACCTCAGACCACCTACCCAAATTCTAAAGCTGGACCTTCACTCTGGAACTCCAGGGCTGAGGGGCCGCTTTAGGAGGCATGTGCTTCAAGATGTTCCAAGGCTCCAAGGCTCCAAGGCTGCCTTCAGTTCCTGGACTATCAGAGTGAACTTCATGCTGAGAAACGCAGCAAGCATCTACGGAGGCCTCCTGGTGAGTCAGTCTGGTTCCGTTTTGTGGGCCCCCTAGCTGCGATGTGGAGAGGATTCAACGGGGACTCTGATATTCTCCCATCCAGGGCATATAGCAAGATGTCACCTGCCTACCTGGTTCTGGTTCTGGCTGGAGAGTTTTGTCTGTCTGTCTGTCGAGTGTGTCTGTAAGTTCGGTTGCAATATTTTAGCTGTCTCTTTGCACCAACCACCAGTCACCACTGCTGTGATGGGTGCTTTTAAGGCCAGGACTCAGAATATAACCCTGAGCTATCTGGTCACTTGATTCAGATTAGCAGGAGTTCGGATGTCTTTTGGGTGTGGATAACATTAAAGTTGTTTTATGCTGCCCTACTGTGTTGAAAAGCTGGCTCTAGAGCTGGGATTTGGCTCTCCCTTCTCTAGACCCGAGTATATTGAAAAATTCTCTCTATGTCCTGTGTCAGTCTGAGTCACCCGACCCTGTGACAAGGAGAAGAAAGTGAAGCAGAACAGCTGAAAAAATTAGATTTGGTTTATGTGAACATTCTTTACCTCAGGATTTATGTTTATTCTATTGGATATGGTTAAAAAATCTGTAAAATCTATGAAAAAGTTAATTTAAAATTTATAACACAGAGTTGATAGTTAAAAATCTATATATAGCCGGGCGGTGGTGGTGCACGCCTTTAATCCCAGCACTCGGGAGGCAGAGCCAAGCAGATCTCTGTGAGTCTGAGGCCAGCCTGGTCTACAGAGCAAGATCCAGAAAAGGCACAAAGCTACACAGAGAAACCCTGTCTCGAAAAACAAAACAAAACAAAAACTAAAACCAAAAAGATCTATGCATGGTTAATCTTAAAGGAAACATGTCATTATTCCACTTTGGAATATAAGCAACATGTGGATTGCCACCATCTTTAGGAAGCCACATGGCTGGCAGCCATCTTTGCTAGAGTTGGAGAAGGGCCGATGTCATGTGACTTCACCACTATCTTCATTAAAGATAACTACGTAGAGTGGGATTACCAAGGAGGCAACAACAGGACTCCAAGATGTTTTGGATTAGAATGGATTTTGTATGATAATTCCTGTCCTGTCCTGAAAACAGGTTTATGAAAGATAGGATTTTGAAACAATGCTTGCTTGATAAGGTAAAGCTGCAGCTCCATGCTTTCATATGAAAGAATGTACCTTAAGCTGGCAACCAAACTTTGTAATTTAAGAGTCACCCAGGTGGTATTGGTTTTAAGGGGTAATGGGGGAGCAGCTAAGGTTTGCCAGTGTGTGGTAGGGCTAGAATTCCTAATGAGAGCCCTTTTGCAATGGTGGATTCCAGCAGTTTTGGAAATGCTGGTGCCATATGATAGTCACCAGAAGCATCAGCCACAATGAAATGGAGCAGGCTGAGATCTAGAAGGCAGGGTATATATATGCTGCCGAGGGTGGGGCTAAAGAGGTGACCCAAGCCCTTCAGAAAAAACCAAAAGGATTGTGAATGAATCCCAGATATTGAGCGTTGAATTGTTTGCACTGTTGGAGCTTGGTTTTGCTTTATTCAGTTTGTGGTTGTGTCCTGTATCTTTCCTCTTGAGGTAAAAAGAAATACTTTATTTTTTATATTGTAGGAACACACAAATGAGAGATTTTATACTCTAAGAGGAAATTTTGAAGTTTTACAGAATTTAAATTAAAAACAGAGTATTTAAAATATTAAAATATAAAATTAATCTAAATTAATAATATTAATAATTAAATTGATATTAAATTAAAATATCTAAATTTATAAGGATATAGGACATTCTAAGTTTATCAACTGTTTTATATTATTAATATTTGAATTTAAAAATAAATAAATGAAAAGGTTAAGAATTAGGACCATAGCTATGAGCACCAAATACTGAACACGAGAAACTGGGATATTTCTATATCATGATGCAGGAAGACAATTACCTGAGTGTCGGCAAAAGCCTTGGAACAGCTTCTCAGCCTAGTCTTGACCCTTTGGGGGTTGAAAGACCTTTTTACAGGACAAGTAGCCTAGGTCTGCTTGCATGTCAGATGTTTGCATAATTGTAGTGGGTAGCCATTTTAGCTTTGATCTGGAAGTTCCAACCCCCATTGAGGCTTTGGCAACTGTCATGCCTACAAGGTGGGGCCAAGGGAGGACCCTGGAGACCCGAGATCGAGATGGGCGAGTGATCTCTTTGTTCCTGGACCCTAGACGGTGGGTTGACCGAGCAGAGCTCCAGAGAATACCGCTGGACTGCGATACACCTTCCCCAGACCCTGCGACCTACCTATCCCTTCATTTGTAAGTTACCCACTAAATAAATCTTCCTTTTAACTATGTGGAGTGACCTTAATAATTTTGCCAATACATTGTAGTTCATAACAGTGACAAAATTGCAGTTGTGAAATATCAACAGGAATGATTTTATGGTTGGGGGTCACCACAACATGGGAAATTGTGTTGAAGGGTCACAACATTAAGAAGGTTGAGAACCACTGGCTTAGAGAATGTATCTCCTTACCTAAGGTCTATTCATGCTTGAGAATGTCTAGCCTCTTTGTCTTTGCTAACTTTATTAAGCTTAGGCTATTTTGATAAACTGAGTCATATAACAAACTGTTATGTTCTATAATGGTACACTATAAAAGGACCAGGCAACTTCCCAGTCTCTCATTGGACTGTTTATAAGTTAAGAGTTTTATTTTCGTACTAAAAGGAACTTCAATTGAGAAATTGTTGTTTTTTTAAGTCTCAATCTTAACAGAGATAAAGCTATAAAATCCTAAGGTCAGGCATTGAGAAAAAAGCCCCCATTCCCTCAAGGGTTTGAAGAAAGTTCTTGCCTGCTAAAAGGGGAGTCATTCTCCTTATCTCTGGCAAAAAAGAACTTGTGGCCCTTCCATTAACATATGACTTTGTTACCTATTAATTTGCCAAGGGCAGTGCTATCCTCTAGGGTCCCTCAGTCCCCACACACAAGCCCTACCCCAGCAAATCCTAATCTTTGAAAAGCTTATAATTAGAAACTGTTAAAGATAATTAAGATGTGGAAAGTAAAATCCACCTTATAAATTACCAAATTCTTTAATATGTTTAGAATAATACTTGTAGTCATACTAAGTATGAATGTGATTAATTACAGGAAAAAGCTTTATTTAGCTTACTATGTGTTTTCAAGGTTAAGCCTAGGTTTGTTTAGTTCATATATACTTAATAGATAATAGTCCTCAAACTTGTCAGAGATCTGATGAATATGGCATTTAAAATGTTTAATGGAAAAAGTTTACTATGGCAGAGAATCCCAGCTCCTAGCAGTGACCCCAAGGACTCCAAAGAAGATGACAGGGCACCATGACTAATCCACCTGCATTGTGGTAATGCTAACCACTAGCCAAGACTGCCCCAATGTCACACCTGCTGCCAGGACCCAGCACAAACTGTGGACAAGCAGGACACTGGAGAGTTGATTGGCCCATGTGGTGATATTGTATTCCCCCAAATATTGTGCACAATAATAAACTTATCTGGGGTCAGAGAATGGAAAAGCCACTAGATACAGGGGCCAGAAAAGGGTGGCACACATGCCTTTAATCCTATCACTTGGGAGGCAGAGATCCATCTGGATCTCTGTGAGTTTAAAGCCACACTGGAAACAGCCAGGCATAGTGACTCATGCCTTTAATCCCAGAAAGTGAGCCTTTAATCCCAGGAAATAATGGCAGAAAGCAGAAAGGTATATAAGGCATGAGGACCAGGAACTAGCTGGTTAAGCTTTTAGGCTTTTAGCAGCAGTTCAGCTGAGATTCATTCTGGACGAGGACTCAGAAGCTTCCAGTCTGAGGAAACAGGATCAGCTGAGGAATTGGCAAGGTGAGGTGGCTGTGGGTTGTTCTGCTTCTCTGATCATTCAGTGTTTACCCCAATACCTTACTCCAGGTTTGTTTTATTAATAAGACCCTTTTAAGATTTGTGCTGCAGCCCCACTTTGCCTAGACAAAGTAAAGCCAGTCCCGCCATGTTCCTCCTCCACAGGAAAGCCTCTGACCTTTTTGGCCTGGCAACCAAAGATTGATGCTACCCTGGTACCTCTGCCCTCAATGTCATGGAGACCACAGGAGCCTGGGATGACAATCTAGGTAATGGACTAGTTTCTGTCATTTTAACTGATACATAGGCCATTTGAATTATACTTCCTGCTATAATTTATCCTTCTCAGATCTCTGATGGTATTGACCACTAGGCTAACTTTGTCAGCTTAGCAGCATCAGGCAACCAGGTTCTTCCCCAACACTGCATCCACCTTGTTAGCTCATTTCATATGTAAAAATTAAGTCTTGCCTTTTCTAGAGCTACTAGGTATCCTGTTGAGTAAAAGCAGACAGGTTTGCCTTGCAAACAGGCTTCATATTAAAAGATAAACAGGTTTCAGATATAACTTTCCATTAAAGGAACATGATTTGAAATGATTGTTTTCAGTAATGAATACTTGTGTATCTGGTAAATGATTAGCTGGAAGGAAAAAAGGTTAAACTCTATGTAAGTTTTGAGGTCCTAAGAAAATGTTTTAAGATATATAAAGGTCTGAGAATGTGAAAGCTTAAGTTCTGAGGGTCTCACAAAATGATTTAAGATGTAAATGCAAGTTGTAAAGGTATAAATAAGTGATTTAAAATATATGAAAATGGGTAATGTTTCAGACTTCTTTCTCTTTCTATGCTATTGTTACACTAAGATTTCAAAATTTCAGAGTTTTAGCATTGATCAATGGAGTTCTGATAAGCTGGTAGAACACTAACCACTTACTGTTTAGTCACAAGCTCAAGATTTTAAATTTCCTTTGGTTGCCTTCTAATATACACTTGAAAGTGCTTATTATTAGTCCAAAGACATCTCTGTCCAATCTATATCTATCTGTCTGAACAGAGGGAAAAAATGTTCATGCTTTTTCACCCAAATCTGTAGCTTTTGCTAGGACTCAAAGGTGTGACTCTGATCCAGCTGTTTTATAGACACCTATTATCTGATTTTTCTACAATGTGGATTTCAGTACAGATTGGTTATACTAATAATATATCTAAAACTTTTATGTCTTTTGTAAACTAAAAATTCATGTAAGCTTCAGAGGATCTAGGCAATCACAAAACTTGGATCCATCTCTCACAGGTCAAAAGGACTCCAGGTAAGTACAGCCTAAGTTTCCCCTCCTGTCTATTCCCCTCCTGAGGATGGTACCTTTCTCTCTCTTGGAACTCCTCCCCTCCCCCAACTACTAGGACTATGGACCTGAACATTCCAAATGTAATATTTTCCTTTAAGTTCTTTCAACTTCTGTTTCTAGTCTATATCTGCCTCCGCTGATTTTTCACTTGGCTGACAGACAACATCCAAACATCATTTGCTGACTACAACCTGTTCCAAATGACTGTGAACCTTGGACTTGCAGAAGGCTGATGTGGACCAGTCCAGCCAACGTGAATGCTCTGTCTCGTCAGCTGGGTCAGTAAGCCAGATGCTTCTGATGATTGCCCCACTGCCTGAATTCCCTCCTTGCCTTTGACTAGCATTCCAGGCCTCTTGGGCCCTGACAACAGCATCCTAGTTTAAGCAGGAAGTAGTTACAGAAGAGAGTATGTCACTCCTTGTCCCCCAAGAGGCTAGATATTAGATCAAAAGGAAACTCCCTGGCACAGGGGGCAAAAATAGCTACCTATAGTGCCTACTGACATACCAGGAAAGGTACTTGTTAAAACAAAATAGGCCTAGATCTATCAACAGGTAGAGTCATTAGCTGAAATAGTTCTATGATATGATAGGGCACTCAACCTGCTATATGAAAAAGAGAGAGGTATTGTATGACTTTAAGAGAAAATTGTTTTTTCTATACAAACCACTCTGGAATTATTAGAAATAATCTGGCTGTACTGAAAAAAATCATTGCAAAAAAGGGGATCTGAGATGAAGTAAATGACTGGTCCCTATTCTCATTTGCAGGCTCCTTCTAGATAATAACTCTAATGTCTGTCATCACAGGGCCTTTGGCCCTTTTGCTTCTGCTAATTACTGTTGGCTCTTGCATCATTGATGCCTTAATTAGATGATAATTACTATCTAGGTGCCATTAAGCTGATTGTTATTAGATCCCAATATAAACAGTATGGTACCCATCACAGAGTCAAGGATTTGACTTGGGATACAACTCAAGTGGAGAATGTGAGAGCCAAAGTTACATTTTAAGTTATAATTATTATGCCTAAGAGATCCATGAAACAAAAATATCTCTGATCTGCAAGCCTCTTACCCAAGGACAGATAGTTTCTGAAATGCTGGAGGCTATTGTTTATGGGAGATAACAAGCCACATGTTTTCACTCCCCTAAACAAGTTTATTTGACTCATTTGCACCAGATGTACTTGATACATGTGGGTGGAAAGTTCACAGGCAGGAAATACATCAGTATGTACGCTTGCCCCTGATTGGATACAGGTTTGCCCCTGATTCGGTGTAGGCCAGAGATACATCAGGATGTATGCTTGTCCCTGATTGGACCTGATAGGGAATACTTAAGCCACTGCAAAACATGACTTGGGAACATTTTTCTGGAAAACTAGAGATGGACCTAGCCAGAAAGTCCATCAACCTGGACAATATTTAATTGAAGCTTGCTTCAAATTTGACTTTAAATTATGGTAGTTGTCTTTTTTCCATCGGTGGGATTAACAAAAGCTGCCAAGTTCTGCTACTTATTGGGGTTGGAATGTGGGCCCCTTGTTCAATTACATCTTCACCAGTTTTCTGTTTTCGATGGTTACCTTCACTACCTAAGCTTGGCTATTCTGGAACTTGCTCTGTAGACCAGGCTGACCTTGAATTCAGAAATCCACTAGCCTCCACCTCTGGAGTGCTGGTATTAAAGGTGTGGACCACCACATCCAGCTCTAAGCTTTTCTTTAATTACTTTTCACAAGTTGAAAACTTAGTGGGGGGTGGGGTTGGGGGGTGGGATCTTGCCCTGAGGTCACCAGTCCTTTTATTCCATTTCTTAATCTGTTTATCTTCTTGAACACAGTACTTAGTTCCATTCCACTTCCTGGTGTTCCCTTTCTCCTCAAATTTTACATTTTGTTTTTTTTCCTTGCTCAGCTTGCTCCTTTTCATTATAAATCTTCATTAGAATTTCCATTAATAACCACACTACAGAGTCTATACTATGTTATTTTGAGATTTCCTCTACTGATGGAATTAATCCAAAACTCTTCATTTTAGCCTCAGGCAGACTCTTCAGACAAGGGCAAAAGCCAGCCACATTCTTCACCAAAATATTACAAGAACGATCTCCAGGCCGCATATTAATATTCTTCTCTGAAACTCCTTGAGCCAGTCCCCCACAATTCAAATCATTCTCAGCACCATTGTCTTCCATGCTCCTACTAATGTGGCCTATTAAAGCAGTGCTTAAGCACTCCACTACTTTCCTAACCCAAAGTACCAAAGTCTAAATTCCTCCCAACAAAAACATGGTCAGGCCTAACACAGCAATACCCCAGTCCCTGGTACCAACTCTGTCTTAGTTAGGGTTTCTATTGCTGTCAAGAGACACCATGATCATGGGAACTCTTATAAAGGGAAAACATTTAATTGGGTGGCTTACCATTTAGAGGTTCAGTCCAGTATCATCATGGTGGGACATGGTGGCATGTGGTCAGACATGGTGCTGGATTAGGAGCTCAGAATTCTACATCTTTGATTCACAAGCAACTGGAAATCAACTGTCTCACTGAGTGTAGCTTGAGCATGGGAGACCTCAAAGCCCACCTGACAGTGACACTCTTCCTCCAATGAGGCCACACCCACTCTAATAAGGCCACACCTCCCATTAGTGCCACTCCCTTTGGGGGCCATTTTCTTTCAAACCACCGCAGTCATGGAATAATTTGCTGATATATATCTTAGTGAAACTCAAGAACTCTTGGATGGGAATTCAGCTCAGCTGGTAGAGTACTTTCCTGGTGCATAGGAAGTGTTGGGTTCAATCCCTATAGGGATGCATTTCTGTGAAAACATCTCTTGCAGCCAAGTTAATACTATGCCTTTAGATAATCTAAGACCCTGTACTAAACCTGCTGGCCTCCTGTGTGCACAGTCTGTTTAACCTTCAAAACAATATAACCAACCTTGTTATTCCTTGAATTTTCCACGCAATCAGCTTTCACAAACTAAACTAATGTATAGCTTTATCTTAAGTCACATATTCTTCTGTACCCTGACCCAGAATAATGAATATATGTATGTGTGTTTCGTGGTAATCATTTGCTTAAAGCAGCCCACAAGTTGGAAGCAACCTTAAAACTCAAAGTCACACAGAACAGCCCCAGGCTGGTGGGTGGGCGCCACTATGAAGAACAGGTATGTGGTGGAGAAATGGGAGAGAAGGAGAAGCAGTGTGGTACCTGCACTGTGGATAGAAGTGGAACTGAACTGGGGTGAGGAACAGGCTGATATGGGTGACCTATGCTGCCATCTGAGGCCATGTGATGTCCTGGCCTATGCTGCCACTGAGGGCCAGGTCTAGGTCCATGGCCCAACTGCAGTTGGGGTCTGTGTTGATGTCCATGGCCCATCTTACCGCTGAAGTCCTTGTGAATGCTCAAGATCTGGGCTGACATGTGAGGCCATGGTGACAGCCAGGCCTGCCTGAGCTGTGACAGAGGGCCATCTCTGGGTCCATGGCCCAACCACAGCTGGGGTCTGTGTTGATGTCCATGGTCCATCTTACCACTGAAAGTCATGTGGATGGCCAGAGTCTGGGCCACAATCTGAGGTCACATTGGTGTCTGAGGGTCATGCTGGCACCAGGGCCATACCAATCTGAGTGGCCTGCACAGGCACCTAGGGCCATGGTGACATCAGGGCCTGAGCTGCAGCAGAAGGCAATCTTTGGGTCTGTGGTCCTATCACAACTGGGTTCTGTATTGATACCTGTGGCCCATGTTACCACCAAGGGCCATGGGAGAGCTGACCCTGGTGGCTTGGGCACTGGAGAGCTGGTCCTGCCCCTCGCCAGCCACCTCAGCAGGAGAGCTTCCCCCCACTCCTGGGAGAACTGTTCCCAGAGGCATAGGTGCAGGAGACCCGGCCCTGACCTTTGTTGACCTGGGGAAAACTGCCCCTGGAAGCTGAACCTACATGGGAAGAGCTGGCCCCACCCCTCACCATGTACACAGAAGAGCTGGCCCTGACCCACACCTGTACCAACTCAGGTACAACCCAGGCCCACATCCAGCCCATCTATGACCTGTCATATACTGGTCCTATAGGACCATAGCCACAGGATCTCCATGACTCAGGGCAGCAGCAGGATATCAGAGAGAAGTTTAAGTGAGGGTCCAGTATTGATGGTGTAGCAGAAGCCAGGGTCCTTGAACCAGACCAACAACTCATTGCAATGAGCATTTGCAAGTGAAGCTGTTTGATCAAAAGGGTGTAATGCATGACACACCGCAGCTCCCAAGACCACCAGGACAAAAGAGTGTGTGATGGAGAGGAGGGAAAAGTGGAGGAACAAAATGTTTTGTTTCACTTATATTTATCTATTTTTATTTTATTTTGAGGGGGAGGCTACAAGGTGGAGGGCAGACATGGGAAGATTGGGAAATGAGTGGGATTGGGATGCATGATGTGAAACTCCCAAAGGATCAATTAAAAATAATGTTAAAAATAAAACATAAAGCCACCATAAATGTTGCAAGCAGCATGTGGCTAAAGGTTGGAAACATCTGTTTGCAATGTTGAGTGTTACTGTGAGTCACATGGGCAGAGTAACTGCTTCCCTTGTAGACTCTGTTGAAGACTCTGTTCAAAACAAAATCCCCATCCTTTCCCACATCACATTTTCTGAGCTGTCCAATAGATACAGTGAGGACCAGACACTGAATCAGACACAAGAACAGACTCAGGCATGGGACTCAGGCACAGCTCACAGGCACCAGGCACCATTAACAGGGCACAGACTGAGACTCACTCAACAGACACACCACAGACAGGCCAGGAACCACAAACTGCAGACAGACAGAAAGCGTGGGGAAAGAAGTGGAGAATTCAAATTTGGTCTTGCTTTTGGTCAAATGAATCCAGAAGGATTATTATTATTATGCCTTTCGTTCATTAGGCAACGAAGGCTCACTCTCAGGTTATTTCTAATGCATTAACCAATGTAGATCCCCAGGACTGCGTAAACCCAATGAGGTGGTTACATGCCTTTAACTCCAGAACTCAGGAGGTGGAAATAGGAGGATCAGAAGTCCAAGGTCACCTTGGGCCACATGAGAGATTCTCACAAAAACAAGCAAGGGGGAGGGCAGAGACAGGAGGGAGAAGGGAGGGCTTAAACAGCTGTAGGGAGGAACTAGCTGAAATTAGGAAAGGTGAGGAAGAGTGATGAGCATATTGAACTCCTAGAACATAGTCCAGTTACAGCAAGGGTGAAAGGAGAGAGTTTAATAGGATTCATGTTTACCAAATCCTTGTAAGTGCCAGGAGGGCCCATAGGCACCACCTAGTTCTTTGACAATACTGTTATGGTGGGTGTCTTCATTTTATTGTAAGGAAAACAAAGTGGAAGATGGTTTATTCTTCTCACTGTATGTGTGTGTGTGTGCGTGTGCGTGTGTGTGTGTGCCTGTGTCTGTGTGTATTATATACCTCCAAGCTGGATTTGAACTCACGGTCCTCCTACCGCTTTTTCCCAGGTGCTAGGATTACAGGCGTGTGCCACCATTGCCCAGCTAAAACAAGCGTTTTTTAAGAACATGCCTCCAGATATTATGTTTGCTTTGCTTTGTGGTTAGAAAGAACAAGAGAAAAAAACAAGCAAATGAAATAAAGAATTCATGATGTTATCTTCTGTGAGGCTCTAGCCTGGGAAAGACAATGGTGAGGTCAAGTTGAAAACACAGTGGATCTTTCATATTCTAGTCTACTGGCATTTGGGACTGTCTACAAAAGCCATAGTACATACTTCCTCATAATGAATACGACCTGTGGAAAAGTCTGCATTATCCATTCATTCCTTAATTCAATGAATATACATGAAACTTAATGGAGTCGAACACTGTACTGGGTGCTGAGCTACAAAAGTCTCGATGCCTGCCTTCATAGAACTCATAATCTACTGGGGGACACACACACACAAAAGGAATTGTGACCTATTGGGTTCTGGAGGCAAGTGGGGCTGTTACAGAAAATGTGCAGGAAGAAGAAAGTTTGCCAGGGGATAAAATGTAGGAAGACAAGGCCAGGAAAGGCTTGAAACCCAAAGGTCAATGATAAAAATTCAATTCATTTAGCAAATTTTTTTTTTTTTTTTGCTGTGAATGTTAAGTCCTGTTGACAGATACAAATAACCTGTAGCGCAACTTCTGCATTTCAGCAGGGGCAGAACTGGATTTCCACATCCGTCCAGGTTGCATCTGGTGGAAGGGGCCTGCCTTCCTGCAGGCCAGGACAGAGATGGCAAGTAAGCTTAAGCCCGAGGGAAAAGGCAAACTATGGACAAACTGTCCAGAAGTGAGGGACTGATGAACCTTCTGAATAAGGACTGGCCTCGGTTGTTGCTGCAGGGAAGGGCTGAAGCACTGTGGGATCCCCGGAAGCTAGGGAGAGAAGTGGGGACTGGCTAGAAGGAATTTTTAAGTGGTCAGCTGCAGAGGGAGTGGTCTCACCTCCTCTGCGCTTCCATAAATTCTTTAGTAAATCCCGCATTTCTCAGTAATATCTTTTTGGCCAGGGTATTCATTTCTAGGGAGAGGCAGACACTGGGGAGACCAAACAGGACAAGGGTCAGAAGAAACTGGAGTCGTGTTGACTCCTGATTCCTCATTCGAGCCCCCAAGGGCGTAGGACGGTAAAGAAACAGGGCTTATTCTGAAAACTAAAAAGGGTGTTTTCGCTACATCTCAGTGTGACATCAGTTCACGGTCTGGAAGCTGAATCCCAAAGTAAGACACAAACTGGAGAATCTTTCTCTGTGGCCGGAATCGTCTACTGAGGCATGAGGAAACTCCCTTGGGCCTGTGCGCTCATCCTCCTGACTCTTAAGTGGAAGCATCCATTAAGGGAGACACACCTCGGGCACGTGGATATCCTAACCCCAGCCCGATTTTAAAGAGAAGGAATTAATTAGCAGTGTGCAGAGGATTGATGACTACACAGCTCAAAGTCGAAAACGGGGAAGTCACACCTGGAATGTGAGCCCAGGCTATCTCACCACAGAGTCAGACAGCTGGCTTAATCCCACATCCAAGCATTGAGTTCCACCTACAACCTGCAAGGGAAGCAGTGTTTCTTTCGTTCATCACTGTACACTCAATGGCCAGAAGGCTGTAGGTATTCAGTAAGCACTTATAGAATGAAAAAAATCAGTAGGGTGCACAGCCTGGAAAGAAGTATTTTAAATGGTTTTGTTCAAAAGAGGAAAGAAAACGATAATTAATAGACCCATGGGGTTAGAGGGATATCACACACCAACTTTATAAATGACTAAAACAGTGTGGGAAGGGCCTCTCCCACAGCCACACCATTAATAAAGACTAGCACAGGGCAGGATGAGCAAAGTGGAGGAGGAGGGGAGGATCAGATCCAGTTAGTTTGCTCAAAATGTACAAATCCCAAAATTCAGGGGGGAAAAAAGCATCCTAATTTTAGTATCTATGTAAACTGTGTGTCTCTAAAATATATTTAAGTGTGGTTTACATTACATAATGGAAGCAGTGGTGGTCTCAATTTTTTTTCTGTACTTGGCACCACGAAAGAATTTGCTTCTGCCCAAGTATAACCTAAACTCCGGAGTACTGGTGCAGGCCCCGGAGAAATACTCTGCTGCCTTGATTGGAGGCCATGCTGGAGGTGGGGCAGGGAAACCCGATTCCTTTTTCAAGTCTGGGAGGCCACATGGAACCTCATTTTTGATTTTGTTTCCGACTTCCCTTTTTCCCTATTTCTGGCCTGTTGGTATTGTGTTTCCCCCTGGAATTTCAATAGTGTTACCGCACGGTCGGTCACAAACCTGCTTGAGCCAGTATGACGTGTTTTCTGTTAGTATGGAACCCTGGCTTTTCTGGCCCTCTGTTCTAATTCACCCCGTGTTAGGAGTTGTGGGCAGTAGAGGAGGTGGAGACAACAGGCTTCGGTGTTTCCGTCTAGGTTCCTCAGGAGGGAGTGGATGCTGACCTCCCCCACTCAATCCTCAGCTTCCCCACCCAGGAGGAAGCAGGTGCCACCTCTCTGCAACCCACCAGAACCACTGTTGACTTTTCCTTCAGCTCTGTTTACAGTCTGTGGCCACAGATAAATGTCCACGAGCCCGGAGCCAGGGTGGATGCAGGTTTTTGTTGGGCCTGAAATGTATCCAACTTTAAGACTGCACTTAAGAGAAGATGTTACATAAAAGGTGTAATTTTCAATTTAAAAATATAAAATGAGCACAGGACTTTAGAAAGGACGTTTCTAAACTAGTTCTGCAGGGAAACCCCATTGTAGTATCCGTGATATAAAAGACATGGGAGGGCTTGTGACTTTGGGACCAAAACATTCTACTTTGTGACTGTATAGAAATATAGAGGACAAGATTCATTCTTCCTGCTTTTCCAGAATTTGGCTGTAGATGCTGTAGCACTTACATATGACAAATTATGAATACTTGTCATATCTATTAAAGAATGTGATAGGCAAGGGCTGGGGATGTGGCTCCTTGGTAAATACTTGCCTCTAGTACCCATGAGGTCCAAAGAACAGGCCTGAAGGAAAAGGGATTTGATAGGCTGGCACTGGGTTGCACTGACCCGACTACCATAACGAAAGTGCTATGGACAGACTTCACATTAGAAGCAACAGGGGATAAATAAGGGCAAAGGCCCATTCTAGTTGAAGCAGAAGAGTAGAGAGCAGAGAAATACTTCAGAGTAACATGGTAGGTTGAAGCCAGCCTGTAGGTTGAGGCTTGGAAGGTGAGACAAGGTTTGGGGGGCAGTGTGGAAAGGCATTTCAAGCCGCCAACACATAGCACTGCAGGGTTAGGGATCTGTATCCATGGAAGGAGTTTATGGAGTTTAAGCAGCTTGATGTGGAGGAAGCAGGTAGAGCTGAGGTAGGTGGGCATGATGGCTCATGCCTGTAATCACAGTGTTCTGAAAGTCTGAGGCAGGAGGATTAGCATGAGTTCAAAGCCAGACTGGCCTACAGAATGAGATCTATCTCAAAGTGTGTGCATGCACATACACACACACTCACGCACATGCATGCACTACACACAAAGACAACGAAGTTGGCGTCAACACTTCTGTGCCATTTTCAAAGTGTTCTCTCTGGAGGTTTCTTCTCTGCTCTGGCCGTTGAATGTTGGGTAGCTTCCAGCTTAAGCTCTGGCTCTCTTCACTGAAATAGAACTTCCTCCATAGACAGTTGTCAAGTGGCCCGTGGAGACAGTCTGCTGCTGTCCCCACCAGGGCTCTTGTCCCACCCTTCTCCAGGAATGAAGTGAGCCAACAGTGAAGAAGAATACAAACAGGAAGTACGTGCCATCCATTCAGAACTAACAATCTTAAAGTGAGTAAAAACGACTTAAGACAGATGGCCACATGGGACTTAAACCAGTCTGCACTCTCGGTAGCAGCAAGATGTTAAGAAAGTGCTGAGCAGTATCGTGGGTTGAAGCTCTCCAAGGCTTGGGGCAAGCCTGCAGTTCTGAGGACGGTACGGCTATTGTAGACTTGGGGAGCAGCAGTGTCTCTGAAGTCGTGGGTGGACTCGAAGGCTGGAGGCTGAAGCTGTCACAGAATGAGTCCCTGCCACCAGCTGAAATGTTACTGCAGTGCACATTATAGTCGGAGACATCACCCCACCTACCCTAACAGACTACAAAGAGCAGATAATATGCCGCCTACCTAACAGCTGGACATCACTGCGGTGTGTCCTACAGTCAGAAAATACACCCCCTGCCACACACATACCTGCTCTGACATCTGGGATGTCAATGCAGTGTGCATGATACTCAGCAGATGTCACCCCCACCTACCCTAACTTCCAGGTGTCACTACTGTGTGTAGTCAAGTCAGCAGATATCACCCTACCTACCCTAACTTCTAGGTGTCACTGCTGTGTGTACTCAAGTCAGCAGATGCCCCCCCCCCACTCCCGAAACATCCAGACATCACTGTGGTGTGTATTGTCAGCAGTCACAGCTTATGTTACCTTATGGTTTTGTATTTTTGCTTCTACCACTACTTACAGGGTCCAAGATTGGAGGGAGTTGAGGTCCTATGAGTGCTCAGCTCACTATGACAGCCAACTGAAGTGACACCTGTGGGTAAGTGAGTATCTACAGGTGAATGTGTGCAGGCAAGAAGGCTGAGTAGTGATCCAGTTAATTCCTTTGGGAGAACTCACTGCTCAGCACTGCACACATAGGCAGAAGATCTTATTGAAATATTTGCTCTTAGTGCTCAGAACATACTGTAGTTGTGTAATTGTATTTGTTATGAGAAATGTCATTTTAAGCCAAATGTGGTGCCATGCATCTATACATCTCAGTTTTCAAGAGACAGAGGCAGGAGGATTGCCAAAAGTATGAGAACACCCTGGTCTACCTAGAAAGTTCTAGGCCATATAGTGACACCCTGACTCAAAAACTAACCACCTACCCACCAATTAAAACAGCAAGAAAAAAGTAAAAAGAAAAGGTAGCCTTATTTCAGCAACAGAATTACTGAAATATATTAAAATCAGTGTTTAGAAGGTCCTGTCATGGCATGGTGGAGTGTTGTGTCTGCTTCCCGCTGACATAATTTGAAATAAATAGTATTTAATCCCTTCTCTGGCATCAACACTCTGATTTTATGGTGCAGAGATTAAAAGACCAGGCTTTGCTCCAAAGTAAACAGCTTAGAACTGAGTCCTGAGTCTCAGTTACAAGCATAGCTCTTGGGAAGCCATTGACCATAGCTCTTGGGAAGCCAGTTCATCACAGGTCTTGGGAAGCCAACTGACTATAGCTCTTGGGAAACCATTGACCATTGCTCCTAGAAAGCCATTGATCATAGCTCCTGAGAAGCCATTGACCATAGCTCTTGGGAAGCTGACTGACCATAGCTCTTGGGAAACCAGCTAACCAGACTATCCTGTACCTTATTTTCCTCATCTGTAAAATGAAAGTTACAATAGCAACTCTTTAGCACGGTGAATGTGAAGATTAACTAAATAACTATGCAAACGGTCTGACACAGAGGAAGCAAGCCTCACCATTTGTGGCTCTCATTATACTCTGGTGGTTCTTTTATTTTAATAACAGTTTCCACAAAGCTTAAAAACATCTATACTCAATATCAGCTAAGGATATCCAACATAAGGCTTTCAGTTTTTCTACTCAAAATTTATCTCTCACTGTAGAGTTTCTCATTCCCATAAGAAAACAAACAAACAAAAATACCATCTATTCAGTGGGTCAAGCCATAAAAATCTAAAAGCTAGCTCCTCCCTTCTATTTAATGGCATTAACTGAGGTAGAAGTAAATTATTTTGTATGGGGTTTGGTGTGTTGTAACTGTAGACAATTAGTGATTACTATGACAACCACCACTGCTACCACCACCACCACCACCACCACCACCATCATCTAATAGTATACTTAACATCTAGAAAACACCTCCCACATCCAGGTGTGGTGGCTTACTCATAGTCTCAGCACTCTGAGAGGTTGAGGCTAAAGGATTACCATGAGTTCAAGGTCTGACTTGGCTACATAGTGAGTTTGAGGCTAGTCTGGAGTATATAGAATGGATCCTGTCCCCAAAATACAAACTAACAAACTAACCAACAACGAACTAAATAAGAAAGAAAATTCTCCCCACCGTCCTGATGATTTGATGAGTTAGACAAATCATGCCAAACCAAGCTCTTCTTCAGTTTTGTTTTTTTTTGTTTTTGTCCCCCCCCCTTTGGGCTGATGATTTCAATAAGATACTGATTATATGAATACATAGTTTCTAGTCCTTATGTCTCCAGCACGGATCTTCACCTTGTTTATCTAAAAGCTGACTGTGGCTGACATAGGTGATAAGGTTAGAACAGCCCAGGCGAGTGTTTTCCAATTATTTCCATTTGTTTAAAATATAATCCTAATAATGAAAGGATTGTGACTTTCTGTCCGTCATCACACTGTTGACAGACTTGTGGGTCTCTGGAGCACCATCTGTCCGGGTGGGAAGCACAGGCCATCAACTTCCCAATTACAGAGCTGCTCTGTTTAGACCCAGTTGCCATGCTGTTGGCTGCTTCTGTTTGCTCTACTCTTTTGGAAGCACACATCATAGTGCTTTTCTCATTGTGGTGGTCACCTTCGTTTTGTGTGTCTATTTGGGGAGAATTATAGAATGGAAGTAATGATACACTGCCACATAAAATCCGCCTTCAGTCGCCCATGACATCATCTTTGTCTGTGAAACAGGAAGGGAGGAGAGAGGCTATGTCTGGAGCAACGCTGGCTCCATTCTGTACGCATCAAGCTCCCCTTGATTGGAAAGTGCTTTACAGCACAGTGACATTAACGTCCGAAGACGGCATTGCACTAAGGTGTAAGGCTGTCACTTTAAATCTGGCAGTCGGTGGCTACAAAAGCTGTGCTGTCAGGTCCCTGTAAGAACACAACATAGAAAGAAAGAGAACCAGACTCCATTCTGGTGGTGTGAGCCCCTCCTCTGAGCCACTGCTCAGCCATAGGTTCCCTCCTGATTTTAAATGTTCAGGTTTTGAAAACCCAGCCAGATATTAATACCTTAATCTTGGAAAAGTGACTTTGATACCATGGAATTTTGTGGAATATGTAATTTGAGATACTTTGAAATCAAAGATTCAGGATTACTCAACAAAGGATAAATTCTTAGATTATATTTCAGGAAAGGAATTTGTTCAATTTTTCTGAGAGCTCATTATTTCATCTGACAAATGGAATTTTTAAAAAGTATTAGTATTCTGGTCATTCATAAAATGAAGTCTGCGAAAACTATGATCACATGTTCTACTCCCAGGCAGTCAGGAGAAGGGTGACTGTCCCGGGCGCACTGGGTCATACCTGCTTTCCTAGAAATCAGCACGTGGGCTGCTGGGAGTCACTGAGCACAGCTCTCTGTCCTGTTGACAGAGACTTAAAGAGGCAGCAGCTGATAAGGACAGTCAGGGTGCTGGAGGTGGGAGCTAGGTGACAGGGAGGGACAAAGACACACGGTGGCAGAAAATGGACAACAATGATGGGGAGGGAAGGGCCCCGAAGGATAGTCTAGTGTTGACCTATTTAGTAGAGAGTGCTTTTGAAGGCAAAAAAGTATACCTGCTTTTTCATATGGAGAGATTTGTTGTTTTGTTTTACATTTTGTGTTAGACTGCCATGCAATTATTATCTGAGTGCAGGGAGCAAGGCGGGCATCCGAGTGCAAGGGGAGAGAGGGCATCCGAGTGCAGGGACAGAGGTGCATCCCAGTGCAGGGAGAGAGAGAGGGGCATCCCAGTGCAAGGAGAGAGAGGGGCATCCAAGTGCAGGGAGAGAGAGGGGCATCTGAGTGCAGGGACAGAGGTGCATCCGAGTGCAGGGAGAGAGAGGGACATCCGAGTGCAGGGAGAGAGAGGGACATCTGAGTGCAAGGAGAGAGGGGGACATCCGAGTGCAGGGAGAGAGAGGGGCATCCGAGTGCAAGGAGAGAGAGGGACATCCGAGTGCAAGGAGAGAAAGAGACATCTGAGTGCACGGAGAGAGAGAGACATCCGAGTGCAAGGAGAGAGGGACATCCGAGTGCAAGGAGAGAGAGGGCATCCGAGTGCAAGGAGAGAGAGGGACATCCGAGTGCAAGGAGAGAGGGACATCCGAGTGCAGGGAGAGAGAGGGACATCCGAGTGCAGGGAGAGAGAGGGACATCCGAGTGCAAGGAGAGAGGGACATCCGAGTGCAAGGAGAGAGGGACATCCGAGTGCAAGGAGAGAGGGACATCCGAGTGCAAGGAGAGAGAGAGACATTCGAGTGCAAGGAGAGAGAGAGGGACATCCGAGTGCAAGGAGAGAGAGAGAGGGGACATGGGAGTGCAAGGAGAGAGGGACATCCGAGTGCAAGGAGAGAGAGAGAGGGGACATGGGAGTGCAAGGAGAGAGGGACATCCGAGGGCAAGGAGAGAGAGAGACATCCGAGTGCAAGGAGAGAGAGGGGACATGGGAGTGCAAGGATTAACAGGGAAGATCTGAGGCAAAAGGTTGAGAGGCCCTTACTTCTGAAAACAAAATTCAGATACTCACAGAATTGCCAAACAGAGTGCCGTGATTAGCTGGGTGTTCGGATGTGGAGGATATCAGAAAGCCCTCAGTGGTGGGAGAGACCTTCTTAACCTGCACCCTTCAAGCTCCTTCTGAAGCCTGTCATGGAAACTGCAATCCCTCCTCCCTAGGGAGAGTCACAGCGTTAGAGTCCCTCTTTCCCAGGTCAGCTGTAAAACCCAGGAAAGTCACTCTTTTCTTTTTGACCCTTAGAGTCTCTCTCCAGAAGTCCCTTTCCCATACTTGAGAGAACTACGTATTCCATAGAGAAACCCAAACTAGTCCCTCCTCAAGCTGCTACCTTTAGGCCACGCCTTTTTATCCAGTCCCATTTCAACATGGCTGCCCGTTGTGCATCAAACTAAGCAGAAAAATGGACCACGCTCCCTAGGTCTTTGGGTTTTCATTTCTGAAGGCTTCTGTGTCATCCACAACTTTCACTAAATCCATTGTAAGTGGATGTTTCCTTGCTAAGTGGTCTTTTATTATATGGATGCTGCTGGGATTCTATAGGTAAGCGAGAGTACAACGCCCTGCAGCGTAGCCCTAGAGGGGCACCCATCACTCCTTGATTCGTTATTCGTGCATTTTTAAGAACTCTTGTTTTTCTGTGCCCTTTGTTAGCTAGTCCTGCAGAAAGCTGTGCTATGAATGAGGTGCTGGGCAGCGGGGAAAACTTAGCGAATGTGTCTTGAAATGAGGCCAATCTCTACGGGACAGGGAGCAGCCCTGAGAACTGCAAAATGTCTGCAGTTTCTCTCTCTCCCTTCCCCCTCCCACTCCTGCTCCGTTCTTTCACTTGAAATGGGGCCTAAATATGTAGCACAAGATGACTTCCACTTCACTAAGTATTCCCAAACGACCTTGACTTTTTATCTTCCTGGAGAAGCATCCCCAAGGCTGGGATTACAGACCATCAATCCATTATGCCCAGTCTTGCTTGTTTGGTTTCCTATCTAGCTTCTGACACAATTGCTTCATCACACTGAGGGCATGGGTGCACAGAAGACAGCC